ATCATCACAGAGTTTTTGAGTTGTGGCAATTGAACCACAACTAGTTTCAACTTCCATTGCATATTCATAAAAGAGGGGGAATACATCAAGTAATTTTCTATATATAAAACACAAAAAAATTATACATGTAGTGAAATTCACTACAGGATATTATAAAAAAACAATTAAAACTTCAACTCTAACAAGGCTAAAGTTAGCCAATCACAAACAAAAACTTCAACACTTATCTAAAAAAACTACAAGCTCTAGAGCTGAAGTTCGACAGTTATAAAAAAAAACTTCAGCTCTAGAGCTGAAGTTCGACAGTTATAAAAAAAACTTCAGCTCTCGACAGTTATAAAAAAAAACTTCAGCTCTATAGCTGAAAGTTCACCAGTTACAAACCAAAAAATTCACCAAAAAACATGTTTTGTAATTTGTACCTGTAGTAACAATTTCCTGTGTAGCAACACCTAGAAGTTCATTGCAAATCGCTATTACTCCTGCATACCGATCGTCTTTCAGATTTGAAGTACCAACAGGTGCTTGATCACTTTCTGAAGCACAACTCGGTGAATGTTTTTCAGTGCCAACAACTTGATCATCTGCACCTTTCTCTCCACCTTGTGGTTGAACAAGTTCAACGCCTCCGACAGCCGCTTCATTATATGTAGCATTATCATCTGCGACATTAGGCAATGCATCATGAGCAGTATGTTCTTCAGTCTCGACAACTTGATTATGAGCACCTTCCTCACTACCAATATTCTCAGTTGATAAATGTGCTTCATCATTTACATATCTGCTCAATCTATCAGGACTCGAACGTTGCTCTTCAACTTGTTCTTGAACATTTTGATCGCCTTCAAAAGCCAATGGATCTTCACAACAGTCATTCATCCTGTCATATTCTCGATCGATTCCATTTGATTTGTTGACAATCGTAAACAACTGTTCAAACTTCTCATCGAAATATTCCTAGAAAAAAAATTACTAAAAATGATTAATCGGAATAAAATGAGCACAAATAAAAAGACTTCTCTATAAATTAGCTTACTTTCACTTTTACAAAAACAGCATCCACAATAGCAGTTCGCTCCTCCTTTTTAAACTTATCAAAAACTTCGTTCACGATTGTGCTTCTTTCTTTTTCATTTTGCCTTTGAACCTCCGTCGTTAACCTCTACAATAGATAACACAACAAAAATTCAAATATAGAAGAAAACTTCAGCTCAAAAAACATGTTGTACTTTTACAAAAACAAACCCAAAAAACTTCAGATAAAAACTTACAGAGCATATTTTATCAAGTAATTCATCTTCATCAAAGTCAGATGTAGATGGAGTAGAACGACTCTTGGTACGAGATGCTTCGCCAATAAAAGGAGTTTGATTCAGTTCTTTTGGTTGATTCCGACTACGTGGTAATTCACCAATGTCATGAGTTTGATTCACTTCTTTTGATCGACTCTTTGTAGGTGGTGATTTACCAATGACAGGATTTCGATTCAATTCGTTTGGTCGACTCAGAGTAAGTGGTGATTTACCAGTTGAAGGAACTGCATTATCTACATTTGAACGAATCCTACTGCACGGTAATTTCCTAATTAAAGGCATTGAATTCAATTCCTCTTCTGTAGGAATTATATCCAATACCCTAAAGTCGCGATATCTCTGTTTAATACAAAAAAGTATATTATGAGAAGAAAAAAACTAATACATCAGCATATTATTACAAAATAAAAAGTAACTTACTTCATGAGTTTTGAACATATAATAAAGTTCAGGAAATTTAGGCTCTCCCACGCATACATAACGTAACATCCTGGGGATCTGAGGCATATCAAGGTACTCATCCTCTGCTACATACCTCATCCGAACATCTGGGAAGAGCTCATAGAACCAAACACATAACGGATATGGAAATCCAGTAAGTTTATACTCAGTTGCATGATGTTTGTTCTGCTTGTCCAATACATGTTTCAATGAATAAATGAGCTTCTCATAAGCCACATTATCCCAGGGATATTCAACACGAGCCTTCTCGTCCTCAATGATAGATGCATACTCCTCATTCACACATGAATCGTTATTTTTCCCAAACAGAATAGACTCTAAAATAAGAATTTCCACAAGCGTAACTGCATCTTCATCATTCTCGCATACGTGTGGATAATTCACAGCATTCTTTGGAATTGCATTGCGAGTCATAAAACCTCGAATATCCTTCAGATACACACCCTTGGACTTACCAAAATACCGGTTTAGAATAGTTCTCTTTCGATTAAATGGTTTTTCAATATTATGTGCTGTTATCGGCAAACCACACATAATGTGAAAGTCTTCAAGGGTGAAGGAAACATCATGCCCAAATATCTTGAAACTAATAGAGTCTCGATCATTCGTGAATATTCGAGAAAGACACAGACAATGAACCAACTTCATGCTGCATTTGATATTCTCCATAGCAATAATGTGTTTAAATGGACCATTACTAAGCTTAGCCTGTTGTGCAGGAGTCAAGAAAGATGCAATTATACTCTTCAAATCATGGTTCCTCTTCCGGTAACCCTTAGAGTTAAACCATTCTGTAAACTCAAAATATCGTTGTCATGGTTTTGTAGGTAGAGGCTGAGGGACATAAGGACCTGGGACTACTACAGGTAGTCTAGGTTTTTTAGGTGCTTTGCCTTCTTTAGCTACTTTAGGATCTTTAGGTGCTTTAGGAGCCATCTGTCAAAAAAAAGTAAAAGATACATATAATAACATCAGGACATTATCAAAAAGATCATTTAAAACTTCAACACCTAAGAAGGCTTAAGTTCGACAGGTATAAAACAAAAACTTCAGCTGAAGGTTTTAATTTATTACTTAAAACTTCAGAAGGAGCCTAGCTAAATTAAAAAATGATATTGCACTAAAAAAACTTCGGCCAAGCAGCTGAAGTTTTTTTGTTATTACTCAAAAACTTCAGCAGGAGGCTGAAGTTTTCCACATACACTGGCTAAATTAAAAAAATCATATTGCACTAAAAAAACTTTGGCCTAACAGCTGAAGTTTTTTATTTATTACTTAAAAACTTCAGAAGGAGCCTGAAGTTTTCCTCCTACACTGGTTAAATTAAAAAATGATATTGCACTAAAAAAACTTCGGCCAAGCAGCTGAAGTTTTTTTGTTATTACTCAAAAACTTCAGCAGGAGGCTGAAGTTTTCCACATACACTGGCTAAATTAAAAAATGATATTGCACTAAAAAAACTTCGGCCAAGCAGCTGAAGTTTTTTTTATTACTCAAAAACTTCAGCAGGAGGCTGAAGTTTTCCACATACACTGGCTAAATTAAAAAAATCATATTGCACTAAAAAAATTCGGCCTAACAGCTGAAGTTTTTTATTTATTACTTAAAAACTTCAGAAGGAGCCTGAAATTTTCCTCCTACACTGGTTAAATTAAAAAATGATATTGCACTAAAAAAAATAAAAAAACTTCGGCCAAGCAGCTGAAGTTTTTTTGTTATTACTCAAAAACTTCAGCAGGAGGCTGAAGTTTTCCACATACACTGGCTAAATTAAAAAAATGATATTGCACTAAAAAAACTTCGGCCAAGCAGCTGAAGTTTTTTTGTTATTACTCAAAAACTTCAGCAGGAGGCTGAAGTTTTCCACATACACTAGCTAAATTAAAAAAATCATATTGCACTAAAAAAACTTCGGCCTAACGGCTGAAGTTTTTTATTTATTACTCAAAAACTTCAGAAGGAGGCTGAAGTTTTCCTCCTACACTAGCTAAACTAAAAAATCATATTGCACTAAAAAAACTTCGAATAAGCAGCTGAAGTTTTTTTGTTATTACTAAAAAAACTTCGAATAGATCGTTTCCTCTGCTATTTTTCGAATTTAAATAGAATAAATATTAAAAGAAACGCAGAAAAAACTTATAACAAAAACTTAATATTTCATTAAAACACAATAAAATATAAAAACAAATTACATAAATAAACAAAACAAAAAAATTAATCGTCCATTCCATCATCATCATTATCATCATCATCGTCGTTGTCACTTCCAGATGGACGAGCATCTTCATCAGCAAGATTGTCAAATCTTGCATACATCACAAGCGTATCAAGCTTGTTGTTAATTTCTTTGAGCTCCTTGTCGTACTTTTCTATCACCTCATCAATCTTCAACTCAAATGCCTCCATTATGTCTTGCTTGATCTCGTCCACTATTTGCCTAATGACAGCATCCATTTTTCTCCTTTTTGTATTTTATATCTGCTAAAATGTATGTGTTTGAGTGAATAAACTCAGAAGGAATAGCGTGCTTATATAGGGGAAAAAACTTTTGCAAGGTATATGAAAAGGCAAAAAGGAATTTTAAAGGTTGTCTAAAGAAAAGCGTGCATGAATATGATAGGAATGTATTTATTACACTAACACATACCCCCAAACGCAATATAATTACTACTTTAACTGTGTAGGTTAATGATGTATACTATGTAATTAATGCTGAAACATGCTATCGTTTCTGTAAAAAC